TCTCAAAATAATTAGCTTGAAAGCATTAAAATGCCCACATTCAAAACGCACATATATGTAAATATAAATTCGTCAAAAAAATCAACAATCTTCTTTAAGCAAAATGCTAAAACGAGAAAAAATGTCAGTTCAATAAAAAGCGAAATTATGTACTCATGCTATGAACTGTGGTACTTGGAAAAGTGCTCATGTTGTGAACTGGGGTACTTAGAAAAGTACTATATTTGCTTTCACTCTTAGCTTAGAAACGCAAAATGTTTATTTACCAAACATTTAATATTTATTCAGAAATACACGCTTTCAAGAAGAACGCACACGTTTAACAAAAAATTCTGCTTCGCTCAAAAATTACCTGATTTTGTGCGCGAGTTACAGACGGTCAAAAAAAGTAGCCCACTTGGATATTTTTGGGCTCTCTGATGGATGATGTTGTTGAAAACTAACTTTTGATGTTGTGTCTTTAGCGACATTGACATGTCCATTCTTAGAAATATCTAAGAGTCCAGGTCTTCCTTACTTTCACCAATGAGATAGATGACCACTGATGTGGGTAGCACCTGCGCTCTTAGAGGGTTGGCTTATTGATTTTGTATACATAATGTCATAATCTATCAGTCTAGAACAAAATAATATCTCCAGAATACTTCTTCAAAGTCTCTGTTTCTAATCGTCTTATGGTTTGTTTGTATTTAATAAAGACCGATTTTACTTTGCCTAACGTCAGATTTTAAGATTTAACTCCAAGGTACGTATCCTGGCCGTTCCTCTTGTTATTTGCGGCTATTACCCGAAAGGATCAGTGAACCTGATAATGACACATACCTATGGATGGTAGTAAATGTTACAGTACACATGAAAGATAACTAAGGTTTTCATTCAGCTCAAAATGGTACAGGGAACCACCAGTAACTAATTTTGAGCAACTCACGGTTATGGTATAATAGCGTTCATAAACTCGCTGAAACGACAACTGCTAAATAAAAATAAAATATTTGTGATAAAAGGTAATAAATTCTATTGGTATTTTTATCAATTTTATTATTGTGATATAACACCATACCTACTATAATTGAATTGATAAAAATACCAATAGAGGTTGTAATTATTATTATTGTGATATAACACCATACCTACTATAATTGTTACAACCACATTATTCTTAGTTGGCCCCTTACGGGTTGAGATAAGAAGTGTGTTCGATAGCATTCAACGACATATTATTGCAGGTCGCTGAGTTGTTGTTCTTTATCAAATAAGTTCTTATTAGTTTAATTCCACAAGCTAAGTAGGTTGTATCCGCACAGTTCCATTCATATAGCGCCATCTAACGGGATAATAATATTTGCACGGGAAATTTGAGTATATAGTATAAAATAATAAATATACTTTATGTAACATCTTAGTTAGCTTAACAATCCAGGATTTACTGCATATACAACATATTTCCAATTTAAAATGAAGTCAGTGATTTCAACAAAGTTGCATAGATGAAAATAACATTTAAATATTTCTCACAATAAGAATGTAAGTAACATTACACCAACATATGACCTACAAACTTCAACTTTACACAAAACTTTAGGTATAAAAGTAAACATTTTACTTTAGTCAATACAAATATAGATAATGCACATCTTAAGTAGATTCCTGTGGACAGTAGAAAAACAAAATGTAATCACGTAATGGCTGTTAATACTATATTTGAGATCCGCGTTCGAATTTTACATCAGAAAAGAATGTTTACCAACGGAGGCACATTTACTCGGTGAGAATTTAGTTTACCTGAGAAATGTTTTGCTTCTTTTTTTTTTATACCGTCTTTGCGTTCCCGCAGATTTAAGCGGAAAGACGCTTAGTTAATTTTTAGATGGAAATAGAAAGATCTTTGTTTACGTTAGAACCTTTAACCTTTTTCATCGGGTTTAATGATACATTTACAATGATCATTTGGTAGAGACAATAGAGTGACAACTTTGGTCTTATCTGAGGCGTACGTTGCTGTACCTATTGTTCCGTTGAACAACGTGCACTTTTACTAGACGCGCGGCTTTCGTGCCTGAATCGTTTTAATGATAGATTTTACGGTATTTCGTGACTCCGCTTGTATGTTTGTCAAACAGAAAATCGTTCGCTGAAAATTCTAACCTCTTCTTGTCGACAGCTCAGCTTTTAAATTTTTTTCTCTCATAGCAAACACATGCTTAATTTTCAAACAGAATTACCAATTTCAGCCTACAAAATGGACAATTTGAACCTCTCTCCAACTTTTCTATTAAATAAACTTGCCCCCCCCCCCAGTGGCACAGCGATGTGTCTGCGGACTTACAACACTAGAAACCGGGTTTCGATACCCGTGGTTGGCAGAGCACAGATAACTCATTGTGTAGCTTTGTATATATATATGTAAATATATTTAAGCTATATAACAAACGATAAGCATAGTGTGTTTTTATTTCACTGTATTCAGGAAAATATTTATCTAGGCTACACGTTACCACTGACAGAACAAAGGACGAATTAAGATAAACAAGTGTATATATGTAGGTATAAATTTATTGTTCTAGCAGGTACGAAAAACATTTTATATCTATACATACTAATATCCTCTCGCCAGTACTGTTTTATGATATTGTCAATCCTTCTTTCTATCTATCTAGCTGTTCGTCAGTCTATCCAACTATCTACTTGTTTGTCAGTATATCCATATATCTACCTGTCTGTCGGTCTATCCATCTACATGTTTGCCAGTATATCCATCTGTTTCTCAGTCTTTCTATCTGATTATGTGTTAGTATATCCATCTGTCTACTTGTTTCTCAGTCTATCCTTCTATCTGATTATGTGTTAGTATATCCATCTATTTACTTATATATCAGTCTATTCATGTATCTACCTGTTCGTCCATCTATCAATTTATTTGTTTGTCTGTTTATCCATTTATATGTTTCTTACTATATCTCTTTGCTTGTCCATCTGTTTATCTACCTACAAATTATCTATTTGCTAGTCAGTTTGTTTGTCCTTCTGTCTATCTATCTAATTGTTTCTCAGTCTACTTATAGAGAATTACGTGTCTGTCTATTTATCTTTCTGTCTTCAGTGTAAGGGTCGTGCTGTCTAAGCTGAGAATGGTTATCAAATCTATACCCAGATAAATTCAGAAAGCATGAGGAAAAATCCACATCGTGTTTGAATAAATAAAACAATTCCATCCGACCATGAATATCCACGTAGTGTGTGAATAAATGAAACAAGTCCATCCGACCATGAATATCCACGTAGTGTGTGAATAAATAAAACAATTCCATCCGACCATGAATATCCACGTAGTGTGTGAATAAATAAAACAATTCCATCCGACCATGAATATCCACGTGATTTGTGAATAAATGAAACAAGTCCATCCGACCATGAACATCCACATAGTGTTTGAATAAATAAAACAATTCCATCCGACCATGAATATCCACATAGTGTTTGAATAAATAAAACAATTCCATCCGACCATGAATATCCACGTAGTGTGTGAATAAATAAAACAATTCCATCCGACCATGAATATCCACATAGTGCGTGAATAAATAAAACAGTTCCATCCGACCATGAACATCCACGTAGTGCGTGAATAAATAAAACAATTCCATCCGACCATGAACATCCACATAGTGTGTGAATAAATGAAACAAGTCCATCCAACCATGAACATCCACATAGTGTGTGAATAAATGAAACAATTCCATCCGACTATGAACATCCACATGGTGTGTGAATAAATGAAACAAGTCCATCCGACCATGAATATCCACGTAGTGCGTGAATAAATGAAACAAGTCCATCCGACCATGAACATCCACGTGGTGCGTGAATAAACAAGACAAGTCTATCCGACCATGAACATCCACGTGGTGTGTGAATAAATGAAACAAGTCCACCCGTCCATGAACATCCACGTGATGTGTGAATAAATGAAACAAGTCCATCCGTCCATGAACATCCACGTGGTGTGTGAATAAATGAAACAAGTCCATCCGTCCATGAACATCCACGTGGTGTGTGAATAAATGTGGAACTAATGAAGACACGAGCCCACCCATCGTACCAACATTGTTTCGTATCATTCTTTTGTGTACAGGCTTTTATATTTATAAAGATATTTGGGATATTTAATGATCATTTCTTCAATAAATCAATTCTATGTATTAATGTTAGATGATGTTTATATCAGTATATCAGCTATGGATAAATGTTAGATGATGTTTATATCAGTATATCAGCTAAGAATAAATGTTAGATCATGTTTATATCAGCTATGGATAAATGTTAGATCATGTTGATATCAGTATATCAGCTATGGATTAATGATAGATCATGTTTTTGTCAGTATCAGCTATGGATTAATGATAGATCATGTTAATATCAGTATCAGCTATGGATTAATGATAGACCAGTGTTTATATCAGTATCAGATATGGATTAATGATAGATCATGTTTTTGTCAGTATCAGCTATGGATTAATGATAGATCATGTTTTTGTCAGTATCAGCTATGGATTAATGATAGATCATGTTAATGTCAGTATCAGCTATAGATTAATTATAGATCATGTTAATGTCAGTATCAGCTATGGATTAATGATAGATCATGTTTATGTCAGTATCAGCTATGGATTAATGATAGATCATGTTAATGTCAGTATATCAGCTATGGATTAATGATAGACCAATGTTTATATCAGTATCAGATATGGATTAATGATACATCTTTCTCGGGATATAATAATTAGCACCGTAACCAAGAGTATGTATTTTTGGACGATAGAGTCAGTGAATTCAATTTTCACTGGACAGAACAAGAAGTTTTGACGTAAACGTTGGCTGCTACTTGCTTGTTTTTTTCTTATGAAACAGAAGGCATGCAGGATTACATAACAATAGTTTGACACATGCGCAATATTCTAAACGCCCACACTTCAGCGAATGAGGAACGTTACCTTAAAACAGCGGCAGCATCCGGTAGTCCTTCTCAACTGATGATCTCAATCCGGACGGTGAGCTAGAACAAACAGCAGGTAAAAGTCTACAATCCAGGTGACACTCTCACACGGGCACACACAAATACACATCTTCTTCATCTGGTCCTCCAGAATATCGGTAAAAATCAGGTAAGCTAGTTGTATGCGATTAACCTCTCTTCTTACTTCTGGGCCCCCCAGTGGCACAGCGGTATGTCTGCAAGAAACCGGGTTTCGATACCCGTGGTGGGCAGAGCACAGATAGCCCTTGTGTAGCTTTGTGCATAATTAATTAATTAAAAACAAACTTACGTTTGAAGATCTCTGTAACCTACTTTAATCCAAACTAAGTATAATAAAACTTTTCGAGATATATCTTTTAAAAAAAACAGATAACTTACTGAATAAATTAGTGTTACAAAGTTCAGCTTAAATACTTCAATCAGCTAGTCAAGTTAGACTTCAGTGTGATCAAGTTTCAAGGTAATTATGACGAATTCATAATTCTGTCAGAATCTAAAGTTTCAAAGCTGATTCTGTCTGCTTTAACTTTAAGTTTCTAGGTTATGCTAAAAAAAATGTTTTTATTAGGATTTTGACCACTTTTGTTTCTCATACAGTCCAGTAACTCCTTATCACCACCGTGTTTCAGTTGATGTAGCTGTTAGCTTCAACAGGTACAACCTGATAAAACTGATTTAAGGATGTTACCTATCAATCTCTAAATTTCTGTTGTTGCAGTTTCTACCGTCTTCAGATACAGCCTGAATAAAGACTGCATTGGGATGGAGGGGTGGGGAGGTGTGCTGCAAGACTTGATCTCAAATCTAAGAGGTAGCGTATCCACAATACGGAAGTGGGACATACTCTTGGGTACTAAATTATTTTAAAAGTTGTATTTCTGTTACACGATGATTATTAGAACGCTCGAAACATTACTCTAACCTGATATAACAGCATATTTAATAATAAAGCGTTCAGTTTGGATAAATATTGTAAGGTTAGATACGAAAACCTAATGAGACAATGTCGTACACTTTAATCAGATCTATCCTGCTCTGTAAGCACTCCCCAATACCACGACGATCCAGTGCCTATTGTTACCATAGTCAACACTGTCTTAGCATAGTGTTAAAACTGCATTTATATGGTCGCCATCTAATGACACCTAAAATAACTCGCAAAAGAACAAAATTTATAGTTATGACTGCACCCAGAACAATCCTGCTCTGTAAGTACTCCCCAATCCTACGAGGATTCAGTGCTCATTGTTACCATAGTCAACACTATCTTAGCATAGTGTTAAAACTGCATTTATATGGTCGCCATCTGATGACACTTACAATAACTCGCAAAACTAAAATTTTAATAGTTATGACTGCATAAGGCTTAGTATACGAGTTGATTACATACACGCTATAAACTCGTAAACTTATGTTGGATAAAATTCTTTATTTTGTGAATTAGCTAAATGTGATCTGGAAGACAGGTTACAAGGCTGGAAAGATTAATCTCAGGCTTAATAAAAAAAGGTTTGTTATTTTTAAAGATTTAAAATAGAAATTTTAGTGAAACAAATCTTTCATCACGATTGGACGACAAAAAAGTGGGTCAATCACACTGAAAATTGAAGTTTTATAGGAGTGTTTTTAGTGTTAAGCACAAATCTATCTGTGCCTTGCCAGCCGTAGGTATCTGAATCCGATTTTTAGCGTATAAATTCACAGATTTACCGCTGAGACACCGGAAGGCATTTTTCGGAGAGTAATGATGATGAAATACACACATTTAATAATTGTAGCATATTTTAAGGCTTATTTTTGACGTAAAAGTTTAAAGCTGTATATTTTATAATGATCGATTAACTTGTTTAGAGCTGTAATTTCATCAAAACAGTAAATATTAGAGCAACGATAATTAATATTATTGAACGTTTCGGATTATATGTTGACCATGTTTATCAGTTTACTGCAACGATGAATTAATTACAGCTAAGCATTAATAGGCCTAGCAAGTAACAGATAACATAAAACAGAATGTAACAATTTTAATGTAGACGCATTCGATTGAAACAAGACATCTCTTTAATTACAAACTCCCAGAAAGGCATGACTGTGTACTCATCATAAACTAAATTTTACCAACTCTTCTAAGACGATTATAGAAATAAAAAACGTAATTTTACCTAAAAAAGTAAAGATTATAGCTACGATAAACAGCAGTATATTAGCCGTTTCGGTTTATACATAAACCGTTTTCAGCAGTTTGCTACAAACACGAATAAGATAAAACTCGGGCCTAACAATTTATGCTATAATATAAAACTAGAGGTGAGTGGTTTATTATAGAAGTATTTGTTTAAAACAGTTGTAATAAAACGAGTGGTGTGGTTGGTAGATTGTTTGTTTTAGAGCAAAGCCACTTAGATCCGTCTAGTGTGTCCACTGTGGAGAATCGTATCCCGGATTTTAGCGTTGTAAAATTATCGCTGTGCCACCGGAAGATACGTTTGGTAGAAAAGGGGGACAAAGTTTCGGTTTCTGTACTGAGACCTCATTGTAGAAGCCGAAACGTTGTCTCATTTTTTAAAACAAGAGTTACAGTCTCAAACTTTATGCCTAAAGTTTCATTGAAACGGCAGTTCTTTAGATTTGTTTACTAGTTTGTCTTATCAAGAGTTCAATATCTGATTTTATGAGTTCCTAACTTTAAAGGTTTCTTTTATTGGTTTAGTGATCTGTGTGCGCGAATGAATGAAGGGGACAGTTTTAAGTTTTCAATGTAGGTGGCGCTGCATTTTTTCGTGGATTACCCATGAACAAGGGATTAATTTGTGAACTCAGTAAAGATTCCTTACTTAAAGAAACCAAGTACATTTTCCCACAGAAGCTTTCTATTTTACCATTATTCCTATAGTTACGTCTAGAGTATTCCCTGAACAACACTATCTATTATCTAAGCAGGTAAAGGCTGTTTACACTAACGGCGTTTTTTTTTTAATACTAAATACCCATCTACCGCCTTGTAAGAAGTCTTTACATATGAGGCGATATAACAATAGTCTACATCTATTCAGTTCTTTCGTTTCCCGTTAGGTTCAGGTGTCAAATAACAAATCCAAGAAATACATAAGTCTACCGTTTATCCCACGTGTTTCTCAACGTACATTACATGGTAAAAGGTGTGTTCCGTTTATGACATCAGACGTACTGATGCAAAAAAAAAGAAAAAGAAATGACGAATAGAACTGATGCTGTTAAACAACTTTATGAGTAGAAGTGTTTCTTTCTTAAAAACACCTTCCGCTATATTCAGTGATATATTAATACTATATTTTTAACAAGGCTAGGTGAATACATTATGTACCGTGCAGTGCGAGAAATAATATCGTTTGGTAGGAAGTTATCATCCATGGAAATGACGCACGTCCATTTTATTTATCCATAACATCATTGAGAAGCTAAGATGAGAAACTAGACACCTACCTTGAGGCAAAACGGCTCACAGTAAAAACTTAGTTTTAATCAAATATACAAACGACATATCTCATCAAGTAACACATGATGTAGATGTCCCCAGGGTCTAGAAGTTGCTGACAACACGTGTTTAGCTTCAGGGATTAAGCCTTGTACTTTTTTTTATTATGAAAGTACGTACAAGCAAGCTTTTCGCCCAGTAAACTATGCTAGTTAAGTAAAAACCTTCATATACCTCATATGAGAACCGTATAGAACTCTGCAGCAGCTTTAGGACTATTTAACAGTCAGACTTGTTTTACCCTTACTGGTTTTTCCACTAATAATATCTCTTCTCATCTTGTCAGTCCGCCAATAATATCTCTTCGTATCTTGTCAGTCCGCCAATAATATCTCATCGTATTTTGTCAGTCCACCAATAATATGTCATTGTATATTGTCAGTCCACCAATAATATATCATCGTATCTTGTCGGTCCGCCATTAATACCTGGACGGAAGTTATGTAAATTCATGATTAATGAAAGGTTATCTAAGGCATGAAAAGTTGTTTGCCATATGTAATTGTAAAACACGCAAAAACGCCAATAAAAACTGCAAAACACAAAATGTGAAACCACGACTTTGTGTATCTCCCCATAGACCCAACAAACCTTCATGCCAAATTTGGTGAAAATTCATCAACAGGGGGGTGAAGTAGTAGTAAAAAACTCCTTTAGAAACTGAAAAATGCAAAACTGAAGGTTTGTATGCACTGCCTTATGGACTTAATGAACCTCGATACCAATTTTTGTGAAGAATCATCCACACCCTATGAAGTAGTTACATGGACATACAACAGACAGTACTATTATATTTATATAGACACACACACATACTTATATATATATCTATATATATATATACGTATGCAAGTTCCCATTATGACAGATCAATAAACGCTACAACAAATTAAACGTGATTCTAGTAGGCTACTCTGGCCTGGCGCATGTGCAAGTTGAATGCTAACACTTATTTTTTCGTGTATGAAACAGTACAGATTGGTATAAGAACTGAAAAGGGGGTGGATGTTTAAAAAGTAAATAAATTAGATTTATAGAAAAAATTTAAAGCTTGTGCACTTTTTAAAATGCTTTAGATATTTCACGTTAATAGGGAAGAGAATCTATATTGCCCCAGTGGAAAAAAGCGTAGTTAACCAGAGAGAATGTTAGGAAGAGTTACTGCTTATTAATATAGATAGAATATAATGTTTAAGCATAGAATATGCGTAGCTAACTGTGGAAATGAATACAACACATTAAAAAATAATTTTTCGAATATTTATGGGGTTTGGAGTCCTTTGTAATTCATCATACGTAACCTAAATTCATTTAGGAATGTGAATAATGTTATGACTTGTGGCCTAATTTATTATTCGATATTACACAGCGGCCCGACTGTTGATTATATATATTTGTCCGGATTATATACTTTAAAAAAATGTGTAGGTAGGGGCTATGATACTTTAAAGCAAAATCCTAACTTTCACAAAATTTATTTATAACGTAACATATTATCACAGTCGAAATGGTGTTTTTAAGTTTTTACAGTGTATTATTACATTGTTCATTATTACCTAACCAGAAACTTAGTATAAACTTTAGAAACTCACTGTGTATATATTTAAAATATG